ATACTGAATATAAAGAGGCTAGCAGTGAGCCTGGCATGTGCAAGGGCACGCAGGACATGTTAGCAGCCTCTTTCTTTTCTTTTTTTGCTATAAAGCATTTTTAACTTTCTTTTTTATTGAATTATTGGAGTTACATTAGTTAATAAAATTATATAGGTTTCAAGTGTACAATTCTATAATACACCATCCGTATATTATGTGTTCACCATCCAAAGTCTGATCTCCTTCCATCACCTTTTATCCCCCGTTTACCCTCTTCTACTGGCCACTACCCCCTGCAGCCACCGGCTTCCACCCCATCCTCACTCCTCACACACACTCTGCTCCCTCTCTCCTCTGTCCCCTGAGTCCCTGTCCCTTCACTTGATTGGTACCTTTGGCCTCACATGCAAGGAACCTCATGACCCAGAACCCCAACTGCTTGGGGTTTCCTCTACCCACAGCAGAGAGTGGCAAATGCTTCCATGCATATTTCCTCTATGAGGACAGATGTATGGTCCTCAGCTTGCTTATAAAACAACCTGCAAGGACCAAGAGCTGGGTGATGGCCTCTCTCTGTGACATTTTGATGAATGGCCGACATTCCCCAGGAATGAATTGGATGCAAACCCAGCTCTTGAGGCATTCCTTGTCCCTACAGCTAAAAGACCAAATAGGTAACCGGACACCTCCAGTCACTCCTTCAGCAAGTGGTTTTTTAGCTACTGTGTACCAGGTGATAAGGACAGATGCAGCTCTGGTGTTGGACATAGGCCTATAGAACACTGTTATATCATTGGGCTTCTTATCCAGCCTGGGGGGTGAGGTGGCTCAGGGTTGACTTGTCCAGGGAAGTGACAAGTGAGGTCGTGAAGCTGAGTAGTGAGTGCTGGGGCAAGAACAGTGAGGATGTATTACAGGCCCCTTGGAGAGAGAAAGCAGAACTGTAGGCAGTGCAGAATGGAGCCCTGAGAGGTAAGGCTGAAGAGATCTTGGCAGGAGCTCATCTCAGAGGCCATGATCTAGGTTAGTGGTTCTCAAAGTGTGTTCCCTGGACCAGCAACGCCAGCACTTGCTGGGAATTTGTTAGAAATGCAAACTCTCAGGCCCCCATCCCAGAGCTGGGGGCAGAGCCCAGTACTCTGTTTTAACAAGCCCTCTATGTGGCTCTGATGCTTACTCCAGTTTGAGAGGTTCCCATCTGTGTTAAAGAGCTGGACTGTCTCCTGAGACAGTGGGGAGTTGTTGGAGGGTTCAGGCCAGAGAGGGCCCTGGGAAAATGGGCAATGTGGAGAGTGGGTAGGCTGGGCAGGAACACAGCACAGAAGTAGAGACAGTGGTGGCAACCATGGTAATAGGGGCCTACGTGAGAGATGCTGGTAGCCTGGCCAAGACAGTGGCAGGGGAACCAAAGGAAGTAGACAGATGAACACACACTACACTGAGGGTGAAAACAACAGGATTTAGTGGATAGAGTAGCTGGTGGGCCCTTTGCTGAGATAAAGGACCCAGTAGCAGATCTTTGGGGTCTGAAGTTGGGAGCCGGGGTTCTTCAACCTACAGGGGTACATTAGGTCCAGAATGAGACATCTAGGTGACCTTGGGTGTCATTTAATCTCTTTGAGTCAAGTGTTCTCATCTGTCAAATGGGAAAAGTGCTAACAGTTCTCAGGATGACTGCAAGAACGATCTGTGGGATCCAGCCCTTGGGCAGGAACACCTTGGGGACACTCACATCTCTGCATCCCCAGCTCAGAAGCCTTGAAAAGCACTAGCATTTGTTGAGCGTCTCCAAGCCCTTTGCACAAATTAGCTCCATCTTCACCGTGGTCATTGAGGAGGACACTGAGGCGACATGGAGTTTAAGAAACTCACTGCCCTGGGTCTCTCTTTTACTTCCTGCTGTGCTGCCAGTGAGCATGTGGCCTCAGAAAACTGTGCAATCCAATGTGCTCACAAACTCTACAAATAAATCAAGACGGAATCCTAAAAAAAATGTTCAAATAACCTGCAAAAAAAGGTAAGAAAAGAGAAAGAGGAAACGAAACAAATCATAAAATGACAGACTTAAGGATGAGTCCATCTGAACGCACAACTCCTAGCATAGCCAGAGGCAGACACAGAGCAGGGATTTGGTATGAACAGTCTGGAGAGGCTGGGGAAGGTCACTGGCTGTGTACAAGAGGCCACAGCAGGTCTGCTGGAAGCATGACAGAGGCCCAAGGAGCAAGGGACAGCTTGGGGAGCCTTTGAGCAGCGTGGCCTGGTCAGGAAGTGAATTTGAAAAGGCCTGCAAGGATGTCCTGATGATGATGGATTGAGCACCTACTATGGGTGAGATGAGATGGACTGAGAAGATACTGGGCAGGAGGCAGGCCTCAGGCAGGGTCTCACGCACTAAAACTGAGCGTTGGTGCCAGAGGGTCAGCTCAGCTGTAAGACTTCCTCTCATGGACACACAGTGGCCTCATCTAAAATGCAGCAGTGGTTCCTGCCTCCTGGCTGAGGGGCCACAATGGCACTCAGCTGGTCTTGGCCTGCCCCAGTCTGTTCTAGTGCCCAGCCAGCTGCACTGGGCTCCTGAGGGCAGGGTCTCTGTCCTTTTTTCCTGGTTAACCTGGAGCTGCCATCAATTTCTCCTCCACCATGTAGCCTTTTCTCACTCTTGAGCTGTGGGCTGAGGGCCAAAAGGGCCAGGGCCTTGATGGGAAGGATCAGGAAGGCACATTTTGGCTACAAGCTGGCCAGTGTCCCTGTGGCTTCCAAGTCCTCATGTACAGGTGCACACGCACCAGGCTTTTCATATACAGTTCAGTTGTCATGTAGGGAAAGGTGTTTTGACACAGACTTTGCATTCAGACTCGGGCTAAATCTTAGATCCCCCCCCTTATTAGCTTTGTGACTTGGAGCAAGTTCATTTCCCTGTCTGAGCTGGTCTCATCTATCAGATGGACTCCCACCCCCATGAGAAAGTGCTGGTGAAGATCACACAAGATTCTGCATGAAAAGAGCCTAGAACAAGGCCTGACACACAGTAGACAGGCCTCGGTAGCTAGTTCTATTTCTAAATTCAGCTAAACATCACCTCCAGTCACAGAAGTGCCTTTTCTGACCCAGAGCTGTTCTTGCTCTGCAGGCCAAGGGGCCCCCTAGTTAGTATCAACTTCCTCAGAGCATTCCTGAAAATTCCTGTGGGCTCAGGAAAAGGAGAACAACGGATTTATTTAACTCCCAGTGACTGGCAGCATCGTGTTTTTATCAGGGCCGCGTCACCATGGCAGCCTCATGGCAGGGCTGTGGAGGGGGTGGGTGGAACTATTGTTCCTGCCATTGTCTGTTCCGGAATGCAGGCCCAGGGTAATGGGACTGGCACAGGCACCAAGTGGCACATGGCACAGGCAGCTGTTTCGTCTGACAAGAGCCCTCTTGGGGTGGCCTGTGCCCTGGCTCCCCCCCAGCTTACTGCCAGACCAGTCTGAGATGGCTTGATGTGGAGCCCCCAGGTTGGGGCTCAGGCCCACCATGGCCCCCAAAGCTGGATGTGTTCCTTGGACATGTTGAGGATAGGGGTGTCCATGGGGCTCCTGGGAGAGGCCTGACAACATAGCTCAGGCAGCACTCTTCCACCCCAGGCTAGGGTGTTGTAGTCAGGCTTGGATTTAAATTACAGCACGGCCACCTGCTATCTATACAGCTAATTGCTTCCCCCTTCCTTATCTTTAAAATAGGAATAATTACAGTTACCCCAAAGGGTGGTCTATGAAAGCCCCTGGGTAAAAGGCATTCAAGAAGGGCTCATTTCTGTTCTGCGGAGGTGATGAACAGTCGCCTGCCATCTGTCACTCTGCCGTCAGGGTCCCCTCCCACATACCTCTTAGGATGCAAGGTTCCCCTCCCACCCCTGGCTGTGGAGAGGAGTTGGGAGGAGAGGGGCCCCGTCTGGAGTGATGCGGGACCAGGTGGTACTGAAGACTTTTCCTCCCCTCTGGGGAAAGGGAAAGGAATTGAGGGGAAGCGACCCAATGTCCTGGAGCTAGAAGGGCAGGGCCAAGTGGGACTAAACAGGAGTAGGAGGTGAAGAAACTGGGATCTGGCGGGTGGAGGCACATAGAGGAAAGGAAGAGGCAACAGCTCACGCTGGGAGGGTATTCGGCGCGGACAAAGGCAGATAGATGCAGCGGGAACTACCCGCCCCGAGCTCCCGCTACGAGAACGGCGACCATCGGGAGGTCGCTGTGCGGGCTGGGATGTTCCATGCTTTGGGCAGCCAGGGGTGGGAGCGGGTACAAGACCTAGAGCGCCTGGGGTTGCTAGACATATGCATAGGGCTGAAGACAGGCGCCTGTGGTTGGTTGTGTGGCTCTAGAAGGTGGGCCACCCTTTCCCCGCCGCCAAGCAACCAAGCGGTGCCCAGGGGGTGCGGGTGGCGGGCGAATCTCCCTTGCGCAGAGGCCGAGTCTGGCCTTCGCGCGCCCCCTGCTGGCCTGCCTGGCGTTCCTTCGGCTCAGCCGCAAAGGCCGAATCTCAGACCCGGGAAAACCCTACCGGGGAAACCTCGAGGTGTGACGTCACCCTCGTCGGTGACGTCACCGCCCCCGGGGAGTGTGGGGGTTCCGGCAAAGGAGGCATCCCCGGGACTGCACAGGGCACCGGCAGAGAAGTCGTCGGTGGCTGCAGCGCGCCTTCACCGCGCCTTATGTCTGTCCCATAGGTCCCGCGCGGCCCCGGGTGAGGCCTGCCCGCTCGCCCGCCGGCACCATG